CTTATATTCTCACTATTTTATTAAATGAATTAGAAGAGAAACATTGAAAAGTTAGTTAAAAGTACGCTTTTTTAGAGAAGTGGTTTAAGTTTAAGTTAAACAGGATGCAGGTCCATTGTGTCAGGCGTGGCTCTCTCCATGGCTCCACTCCTGGGACGCGATCCGCCACCACTGGCCTTCCCTACTGGAGACTTTTGGCTGTCTGGGTTTCCCTCCCTGGCCCTGATTCGCCTCTCCTTAACCAAAGTTCCTCGGGCACCGCGCGGCTCTTCACTCTAGGTGACCATTATTGATTGACAGGCCTTTTGATGGCGGACCGCTTCGGTTCGTTATGAGACAACCACAGGGAAAGGGCCTCCCCCTCCAAACGTCCTCTACACCTCGGCCTCGCCCAGTCGCAGGATTCAGGCGTCGCACGCGCCAGCCGGTAGTTGCAGCTTACAAATATGCCGCATATGAATGCGTTTTTCCACATTTTATCGGCCTTCACTTTTGCTTGGTATCCGCGGCGGGCCACGCTGGAAAGAGGGTGCCCTAGAGTAATAAGCTGCAAATTAAAAGGGCATCTGTTAGATTTTTAAACTGCTGTTTACCCGAATTCGCGCAGTCAAAGTCTCTACGAGTCGAAAACCATTCACCACATCAAAGCATATGTGCCCTTATTTATCTCACTATTTAATAAATGAAAGAAAGAACATTGAAAATTATAAAGTACGCTTTTTTAGAGAAGTGGTTTATAAAGGTAAAAAGGATGCAGGTCCAATTGTGTCAGCGGGCTCTCCCATGGGTTCCCACTCCCGGGCGCGATCTCCACCACTGCCTTACACGGAGACTTTTGGCTGCTTGGTTACCCCCTGGCCCGATCCACCTCTCCTTAACCACCTGGGCACCCCGGGTCTCCCCAGGGTGACCATATTGATGACAGGCTTGATGCGGACGCTCGGTCGTCATGAGACAACCACAGGGAAGGCTCCCGCCCTCAAACCGTCCTCTACACCGCCTCCAGTCGCAGGATTACAGGCGTCGCCACGCGCCCAGCGGTAGTGCAGCTACAATATGCCATATGAATGCGTTTCCACAATTTACGGATCTCACTTTTTGACTTGGAATCTCGGGCGGCACGCTGGAAAGAGGGTGCCCTAAAGTAACTAGCGCAAATTAAAAGGGCATCTGTAGATTTTTAACGCTGTTTACCCGATATTCGCGCGAGAGCAAAGTCTCTACGAGTCGAAAACCATTCACCACATCAAAGCATATGTGCCCTTATATTCTCACTATTTATAAAATGAAAGAAACATTGAAAATTTGAATAAGTACGCTTTTTAGAGAAGTGTTTATAAAGGTAAAAAAGGATGCAGTCCAATTGTGTCAGGCGTGGCTCCCCCATGGCTCCCACCCGGCGCGATCCCACCACTGCCTACCACGGCAGACTTTTGCTGCTGGGTTTCCCCCCTGGCCCGATCCGACCTCTCCTTAACCAACCTGGCATCCCACGGGCTCCCCCAGAGTGACCATTATGATGACAGTCTTATGCGGACGCTCGTCGTCATGAGACAACCACAGGGAAGGGCTCCCGCCCACAAACCGTTCCTCTACACCGGCCTCCAGTCGCAGGATTACAGGCGTCGCCACGCGCCCAGCCGGTAGGTGCCAAGCTTCAAATATGCCATATGAATGCGTTTCCACATTTACGGCCTCACATTTTTTGACTTGGATCCCGCGGCGGGCATGCTGAAGAAGAGGGTGCCCTAAAGTACTAGTCGCAAATTAAAGGGCATCTGTAGATGTTTTCACGCTGTTACCCGAATTCGCTGAGAGTCAAAAGTCTCTACGAGTCGAAAACCATTCACCACATCAAAGCATATGTGCCCTTATATTCTCACTATTTATAAATGAAGAAAGAAACATTGAAAATTAGAAAAGTACGCTTTTTTAAGAAGTGGTTTATAAAGTAAAAAGGATGCAAGGTCCAATTGTGTCAGGCGGCTCCCCCATGGTCCCATCCCGGCGCGATCCCACCACTGCCTACCACGGAGACTTTTTGGCTGCTGGGTTTCCCCCATGGCCCGATCCGCCTCTCCTTAACGCAACCTGGGCACCCCGGGCTCCCTCAGGGTGACCATATTGATGACAGGTTGATGCGGACGCTCGGTCGTCATGAGACAACCACAGGGAAGGCTCACCGCCTCAAACCGTCCTCTTACACCCGGCTCCTCAGTCGCAGGATTACAGGCGTCGCCACGCGCCCAGCCGGTAGGTGCAGCTAACAAATATGCCATATGAATGCGTTTCCACATTTACGGATCCTTCACTTTTGCTTGGATCCCGCGGCGGGCCACGCTGGAAAGAGGGTGCCCTAAAGTAATCGCGCAAATTACAAAGGCATCTGTAGATTTTAAAACGCTGTGTTACCCGAACTTCGCGAGAGCAAAAGTCTCTACGAGTCGCAAAAACCATTCACCACATTCAAAGCAATGTGCCTCTTATTTTCTCACTATTTATAAAATGAAAGAAGAAACATTGAAAATTAAAAGTACGGTCTTTTTTAGAGAAGTGGTTATTAAGGTAAAAGAGGATGCAGTCCAATGTGTGTCAGGCCGGCTCCCCATGGCTCCACTCCCGGGCGCGATCCCACCTACTGCTACCACGGAGACTTTTGGCTGCTGGGTTCCCCCTGGCCCGATCCGCCTCTCTTAACCACTGGCACCTTGCCCGGCTCCCCCAGGGGTGACACATATTGATGACAGGGCTTGATTGCGGACGCTCGGTCGTCATGAGCAAACCACAGGAGAAGGCTCCCGCCCTCAAAACCGTCCTCTACACCCGGTCCTCCCAGTCGCGATTCACAGGCGTCGCCACGCGCCCAGCCGGTAGGTGCAGCTACAAATATGCCATATGAATGCGTTTCCACATATTTACGGTCACTCACTTTTTGCTTGGATCCCGCGCGGGCCACGCTGAAAGAGGGTGCCCTAAAGTACACGCTATAGATTAAAAGGCATCTGTAGATTTTAAACGCTGTTTACTCGAATTCGCGAGAGTCAAAAGTCTCTACGAGTCGAAAAACCATCACCACATCAAGCATATGTGCCCTTATATTCTCACTATTTAATATGAAAGAAATGAAACATTGAAAATTATAAAAGTACGCTTTTTAGAGAAGTGGTTTATAAAGGTAAAAAGGATGCAGGTCCCAATTGGTCAGGCGGGCCTCCCCCATGGCTCCCACTCCCGGTTCGCGATCCCACCACTTGCCTACACGGAGACTTTTGGCTGCTGGGTTTCCCCCTGCGCCCGATCCACCTCTCCTTAACCAACCTGGGCACCTCGGGCTCCCCCAGGGTGACCATATTGATGACAGGCTTGATGCGGGAAACGCTCGGTCGTCATGAGACAACCACAGGGAAGGGCTCCCGCCCCTCAAACCGTCTCGTACGTATTCACCTCGTCCTCCCGTTGCGCAGGATTACAGGCGTCGCCACGCGCCTCTAGTCCGGACGAAGTTGATCTATATGTGCTATATGAATGTACAATGTTCGAAGGAATAGTTTGTTTTATAAATTGTTCAAATGTAATTTCTTTCTTATTATCGAATATTGTCATGATCAATTTTTTTGTTATATGGTTTGAAACACCTTTTATTAGTTTGCCACACGACTAGTATGAACGATGTGCATGAAAGTGCATAAAAGTTATGTTGTAAATAGGAAAATAAATTTAAATATTGTCATTGAGCAAAATTACAGAATTTTTTCTAAATATAAAAAAACATGTTTATCTGTCGGGTGTTTTCAGGCGAGTTCTTTATTTTTTATTTCAATGATGATTTCAATTCGAAATTTCTTACACCAGAAAATTGTATTAATTATAAAGTATTAATGGTGAAGTTTGGTAGATATTTCGATAATATATTTAATCAAAGGTGTAAAAAATGTAATTTGAAAATTAAATCCCCCAAAAAAAGTTTAATGTTTTTCAATATTCGAATTGTAAGAGGGGAAAGTATTTTTTAATTTAACCAGTTAGGTTTAACCGTGAATTGAATCGCACGATGTTTAAGCAGCTCTACAATTTGAAATACAAAATCTTTATTATTATTTATAGCCAATGTTATTATTTAAAAATAATAAATATATGATCCCTTTTTTTATTGTGTTAATGCTAATTTTAACTAATTACAAATATAAAAACGGAAAATGGTGTATACATTATTTATTCGTATTCACTTATGTACAACATTTCGAGAATTTCTTTTTATTGTTGTCTACAGATTCAGTAGTTTATTTTCATTAAACAGCTTACTAAAACATCGGTATTATAATAAACAGATGTTTAGTAGTACGGATGTTTTATGTCATTTAATGAAATGGCAGTTCATGCAATTACTTTATATTGTTAAGCTTTATTGTATTATTACATGTTTTGAAAACGAGCGACTTTAGTAGCGAGTTTTCAAATTTGTACTAATGTAATAAAGCAACATACAAACGACTTGCATACTATATTTTTTGTATAACAGCATTATACATTTATAAGAGAATCAAACTTAATTTTCGAAACAACTTCCCTGTGATGACTCGGGTATTTGACATTGTGCGAGTAAACGATGGTCGGCTGTTTCGTTTACCTCTACCTCCCCCGATTCTCTCACTACGATTGGCTGAATTTGTGATGACGTCATCATTCGTGACATAAAATATAATATGTGATCACTTGTGCCGTAAAATGCCCGATTATGAACGATTTCTTGCAATAGAAAAATGTCGTTTTATAATGCTGGAATACAAAAAATAATCGTATGAACCTGATGATGACAATTTAAATAAATTATCGAAACGTTGTGAAAAAACGAATAAGAATAATGTGAATTTTATCCGGAATTTATATGTTATTATTTAAAATTGTCATGAAGCTAACAGAAAAGAATAATACTTATTATTAGTTACTTTATACTTATTATAATACTCATTATTTTAAAATATATTTCGTTTCTTTCACAGATTCGCCCATCCTTGTCGTCTTCTCGTTGGAGGCCTTTTGGTGGCGCCGGTGGGGAATGGGCCCTCGAACGCCGCGTGGAGCTAATCACGTGCGAGGACTTCCGGGACTGCCCTGAGCGGCAGCCTTGGGTGCTCACGACAGACGGCCACGCAAGGCTAACACAAGAGGAGGTGCGGTTTTGGCACATGCTGTCTGCGGTGGGCGGAAGACGTGAGTGACTGGTTCCTATTAGTTCACGTAATTGTATTTGTCTCGCGGCTATCTTATTACGCTCGATAAAATTATGGCAGAAGCGATTTTGATGAGCTAAGATGAGTTTGGATGTCTTCTATTTCTTATTTGTTTTTAAAATTCCAATGTCGTGATATAAGATACCGTTGTTCTATCCACTAATAAGTTACAGAAGATCAAATCTATATTTTTCGAATAATTGTCCCAGAATATCTTTCGTTATTTTTGAAGAAATGCTCAAATAGAGATATTTAAAATATTGAATGAAATCAGTAAGTAATGAATATAAAAATATTCGTCATTAATTTCACTAATCTGTTAACTAGTACGTCCTAAATATCGACGTAACAAAAACGCGAGAAAGAACTGAAATTAATTTTTTTTTATCCTCTGTCTGTCTTCTAACTAAAGCAGCTACCTTAACGCCTAAAAGCTTTAAATCGCATTTCTTGTCTCGAGCTTCCCCATTCACGAAACATCGCCATATAATTTGAGAGTAGCAAACGTGAGATCAACTTCTCTTGTTCCGGCGACTGGGCGTAGTCTTTTTAAGCAGTGTCTGTTGCTGTGCAGCAGCGCGTCACGCCGGCACTTTGTCGTTGGACCTTTAATTTCATGAAAAAAGAAAACGGGAGACAGAAAGGAAGGGCGTTCGAATGACACCCGACGCGCGACGATCCTTCGTCGTATTGATTCGCTCCACATCCCAGGGCGAGAGCGCCGCTAGAGGCGTGGGATGTTTGAAGTAGAAGCCATCAAGGATGTGAGGGCCACGGGATCGGCCTTATCGATATCTCTCGGACTTGGGGAATTAAATTTACGATCAGTGCAGGCGTGCGCACAGGAGGGGACCAGGGTGCCATTCCCCCTCTGAAAATTTCAAAACGGGCCCCGTAGCCTTATGTTATAAAATATTTTATTTTCGTAACTCGAAGGCCGGCCTTAATGGCTGAGGTGTCTAAGAGCGTGTATTGACCCAGCGCTTCAATCCGAAGGGTCACGGGTTCGGGTCCCGTCGTTCTTCTGACCTCAGATCAGAGAAGCCCGCACGTGTTAGCATGTGTAGTTATGATTCGGCAAGGGAAGTTCCGTAGTCCGAGAGGTACTGGTGAGAAGAGGAGCATTTTCGACCGTAGCTTGGCACGGTAAAAGCCGGTCTGAATGGGATTTCTAGGTTGACAGCACTAATCGGTCATTTTCGAGTTTTTCTCTGAGCAATTTCTAGCAAATGTCGGAGCATTATTGGAAGCAAGGTCAACGACTCGGCCACATAATAGACAGATTCTCACATGACTGATGATTCTTGATGATCTAGAAAGTCTCCAACAGGATAACCGTTGTCATGTAGTGATTCTAAAGACCTTATTTTACTATATTGCAGTGAATCTTTATGTAGTCTAGTTTATAAATAATATCGAATAATATTCATTTCGCTGTAGGGTGTACTGCTCTAGTGGCGGAAAGTCTCTGCAAATCTCATACATTGCAATGGATAATTACCACCTTGTAGCGAATTAGTGTTGATTGAATGGGATTTAATATTCTTTTATTTTCAGTAATTGACAATTTATTGAACCTTCTTTTTAATATAATTGATCAAATTTATACAAACACACACATATAACTCTGCTCAATATAATTCAGTAAATACTTAAAAATATTGGCTTGATCAGATAACAAATTTACACAATGACTCCAATAGCTTCCTTGTTAACTCACAAATAACACGCACATAATCAACTGCATCCTTATTCCTTAAACTTAGACTAGAACGACCTTCGTTTTCTGGCTCGTTGCCACTTTTTCTAGTAGTTCTGTTACGCATCGCTGCATCATTTGCATTTGAGATTACGAGCACTTTCGCATGGACACTGATGTCATGGTACTTATGAGATATTTATCGCGAAAGGGTGAGTCACCCGTGCTTCGATTCTTGATGTCATCTCATGCAAGTCAACACAATACGCATCCGGTTATTAGTAAATAAAACTTGCCCCTTAATCCAAGTCGTCACATCATGGACCATTCTTTATGCTGCCAAAGTATGCAGCTCGTCGCATGCACCATTTCATTGTCGAACAGCGCATTGCAATTATTTCATAGTGTAATAAAACCCCCTGTTAGGCAGTTATAGGTGCCCCGTTTAATTCAACGTTTAAATTACATTCAAGATGACCTAGATTACAATGAACGTTGGATGTGAGAAAATAGTAACTGAGAATTTGTGAGGCACAGAATTATTTTCTTTAGTCTCATGATGAATTAAGTACTTTGTATGAGGTATGAGAGCAGATGACCGTGCCTCCCCAGCTAGAAAGCAAGTTTCCTTCCTTGTTCAGAATACGGTACGAAGTAATCTATTTACGGCCTAGTATTAATGTATTAACTAAATGTAATTAGTTATTACTATAAATAGTGTCTACTCTTCAAAATACCTCTGGCGTTAGATAATGTTTTATAAAGTGACAGTTGTGTGTTACTAAGTATGCTAATGAAACTCTCAAGAAACATTAAACTTATTTTCAAGTTTAAAACACTTTACTAAAAATATAAAAAAAACAACTCCAGGAAGTATTCAGTGAAGTTAATAAGATAGCATTTAATTGGACCAGGTTGTAATGCGATACACAGATAATTTGTAAAAGGTATAAAACATGTGAACTAATAATAAAGTAATAAAATAAATTGCTGAATATTCTTTTTGAGTTGCAAAGAATCAGTAAACATGTTTGCGATTCATTGCAGCGAGAAAGGGGCAGGAAGCATTTCGAGCGGCAAAAGTACTGATTGCAGCGCTGCACACGAGAGTGTCGCATTTTCCCGTTGACGACGCCTCTTGAGCCGAACGGAACTCGAGCTCTCTCGAAGTTATTGGCCAAGGAGAGGCGCCGCCATCAATCTCCGAACCTTTTGTCCTCTTACAGGAAAAAAGAGAAGCCCGCGGTCTCTCGAGCGGTGAGACGGTATCCCACCGATTGCAGCTCAGAGGGTGTGGGTGGCACTGGAAGCCGTCCTTAGAGGAACAGTTCCGTTAGAGCAGGACTGTCGAACTCGTTTGAACGTCGAGCTTCATTTCAAGTTGTTGTTTTTTACCGATGGCTCGGTGTGAATTCATTGTGTCATCCATTCTTTTTATACAGAATTTCCTAAGGTTTTTTTGTTAAATTAATTCGGAAATATTAGTTACTGGAGCTATTGACAAATTAGTGCGTAATAATGGTAACTGATGGTTAACGTAATTTAACTAATATACACAAAAGGGAAATAAACAGAAACAATAATATCACACAAGCAAATACCGTCATCTTATTTTTATTAATGGTTGATAGTACACAATAGAGATTATTATTATTATTATTATTATTATTATTATTATTATTATTATTATTATTATTATTATTACAGTCACAGTATTCTGCACAATATACAAGATTGCGCCGCATTAACTCCCACGTGTTTAATTCATGATACTTGGGTACAATTTTGCAGTGTCCAGTTCAGTGTTCAATTTTGCATTGTTCATTTATTTATATCAATTTATATGCTAATTATATTTGTTCACTTACTTTCATCTTCATAAAGCCCCAGAATATGGCATAAATTAGTGACAACAAACGGGTATGGCTGATTATTCTTAATATTAAATTTATACTGTAATATAGTGTGTGGTTGTTACCTCTTCGATCCTTGATGACTAATCCTTATGATTACTCTAAACGAAAGTAAAGTGGCGATCGCGTATGGGGGCGTGGGGGGAGTTGTGGCGTACTTACGAAGTGGTAGGGACGCATGAGCACCTCGTAGACGTTGCTAGCGACGCCGTTGATGGCGGGCAGGCTGCGGATGTGTAGCGTTCTGTCGGACGCCGTCGGATGTCTCANGGGGGCGCCCGCGGCCGGCGCTGTCAGCCATGTCAGCAGCGACAGCGACGTCAGCAGCACCGCTCTGCAACACAACGCCGATTCTTTAAATGCAGACAAACCTTGTTAACTAAAATGTCTCTAACCCGAATTCACTAGATATGTCACATGGAAGTCAAATGTAAGAATGGCACTTCGTAATAACTTACTACTACATTCACTTTCATGTGGAAGATGACCAATCATCGAAAGCTACAGCAAATACAGTATATCAACCTGAGTTATTTGTATAACGTAAATAACGCCTTGTCAACGTATCAGTATTAAACTGAAATAATCTGGGTAAACAATCTTCTGCAATTGATATTATGTGATCTAATGTAGTTGCGAATGCCGCAAGCACATATTTCACTCATGCTTATTACGAAGGAGTTTGAATGTTTTGTTAATTTCCTTTTATGCCCAAATAGATAGTTATTATTTTGATACTTTTGGATACATTTACCCCTTAATTTCATTTTCAGAAAGGTATTCAATTCCTTCATTTCTTCATTTAAGGCAGTCATATCAATGAGGAGAGATAGGTACGTAGGATACAAGAGTTCGGGGGTACTGCAACTAGAGCAAGTGGGGTGAGATTTAAAAGTAAGGGTTGTTCAAATTGCTCCGACGGTGGCGATACACCACTGGATTGGCCCATTACAGTTTTTTGAAGAAGGCACTTGGCAGTAATTGCCGCAAATTTAACTATTACTTCCCATTACCTCTACTGAAGCAAAGTAGTTATCCATTAAATGTAGTAATACGATGGTTAGGTTTATAGAAGGCTCATATAGTTAATTGAGAATAAAATTAAACATTTTGAATGAAAGTATTTGTTTTTTTTTAAGTTTTGAAAGTTCAATAATTGCATTGTTTTCCTATTTCGAGTTAGGAAGTTTAACAAAGATGTATGTTGAAAGATCGCTCTACCCGCAACTAGAATTGTTAACTTGTGGAAACTTTTTAATGTATTTCACATTATTGGTTCAACAAATTACAGATTCGTTCAATAAAACTTAACATAAAACTAAAAACAGGAAAGAATTCTTCACTTAAACACATTCCTGTCCCTTGGCA